CATAGTCGGCATTCTCTTTTTCTCGCTGATATTGTGCGCCCGTAGCTCGGGTTCCACACCTTGATTAATTTGTATTGAACCTAGATCTTTAGTCTAACGACCCTTATGGTGTACAATTGGTACGCTTTTGACATTGATTTACTATCCCACAGGTGGGCCCACATCAGTAACTTCAAGCTGATTCCAGGTGTGATGTTGAAATTGCTTTCATTTCGTTTGCAGACGCGGGTGAAGGGGAAGCTGTCAAGGGATTATTGTCTAGAAGCTGTGACTAGATTGGAGAAAAATAGGCCTTCGGGTTATTGCTTAGCAATCCAGATTACACTTGACCCTCACATGAGGGTCATCGTCAGAGCAGGACAACATGCTTTAACATAATTCACCGTAAACACGGAGGCAAGAAAGGTTTATGTTTTTGATGAATTAACGTTAAGCATGGTGTCCTGCTCTGACGATGATGCACAAAAACTCAGCAAGGATTGATTGGGGTCACAGGGCGGTGCGCCGAGGGCCTATTCGCACAAATCTACAATCACAGCTTCCGGTGACTCTTCGAAACCCAGTTTTTCTGCAGGTAAGGCTTATTCCTGTATGTGATTTCTTTCTGAACAGCGTTCTCCTCGGAACGAATGACCTCCGCATCCAAGAAAAGTAAGTGTCCGTTCTCCTCCACATCCATTGTTAATTCGACTTTTGCATCCATTTCGCTTAGGAACATCATAAGATCGTCAAATGTTTCTTTTCCATGCGACCAGAGCTTGAAGTAGTCATCCAAATGTCGCCGAGGTGACGTTTTGAAAGATTCCCCCAACTTTTTCATCTAAATCGTAGATATGAAGAACAAGCTAGTGTGGCCTTCTGTTTGGTCGCAGTCTCCTGTAGCTTTATAGTGTTGGCTAAACCTAGTTTTCGCAACTTGGTCGGAGCGTCGAGACACCTTGTGGAAGGTACCTAGTCCCGTCTCCTCTGCCAAACTATTCGTGATTTCCAGCAGCGGACCATTGACTTGGAACATTCCCAAAACCTTCCGACGGCATTTCAGTCAGCATCGTCAGTCAGAGGCTTCATCGCTAGCACAGAGTTACAAGTTATCAAAGTAACAAGTCTTCTATTTTTAGTAGAAGATGGGAAGAACAAGATGGCGTTGTCTTTAGCATGGGCGCTGTCACCCTTCGATGTTTAGAAGTAGATTGATTTTATTTTCTCCGCTTGGTCATGTTGTCGAGACGACTTAGTTGTTCGCATCTTGTTGGAAATCCTCTGCTATAGTAGCTATCATAACTCATGTATCTTTTCGGATTCATTCCGTCTCCAGGAGGTCGTCTTCTCTTCTCAAGGTCTGCACTGGTGCCGTGAGAGCTCCTTCTCCTGAGCTGTTGTTGTACATCAAAGTTCACCAATGATTCGTTTCTCTCCAAACTGGTGACCTTGATTCACTGGCAAAATTCGAGTGAATTCTTAACTTTATTTTATAATTTATCATTCGTGTTTTTTAATTTGAAGCGTCAGGGAAACCTTGTGGAAGATATAAATTAAAATAATATCTCTAGAGTGATAAATACATTTTTAAACAGAGACTTTTTAGTTAAAGCTATACAAGCTGAGACCTTTACTCTTGTAATCATTTGCTGCTTTTCCTTCTTTCTAAGAAGATAGGAGAATTACAGAGAAAGTGAGGGATAAAAAGAGCGTTTTAAGAAAACCTCACACTTTCATCATTAATGCCATTTTCGAGAGAAATATGACCCTTTATCGAGATCGGGCTGCTACAAGATGGCTGCTCATGTGGTCGATGTAATGTTGATAAAACATGCCGACCTTTTCGGCAAAGATTGGGGCAACATAAAAATGCTTGTAAAGGAGGCTGGGTCCAACTGTCAGAAGTGGCCGAACACGTGGTAGAAACTGAACATGAAATAGAATGGTCTCAAAATTGTAGGTTTGTTGATTTTAGTTCGTCTACTGACAAAATAAATTTGTCATTTGTTCCAATTCTATAATCAAATGATTGGCATCCTCATTGACTTCAAAATTCGAACCTCAGTTTTGTAACAATGGTTGGAAAGAAAATTAAGCAAAGATCTAACATATATTGGCTTCTTATAAACATCTCTTCCTAACTTACCCTCTTTTCTAATGACGAGAACATCCAGAAAGGGTAATGGTGTATTCTCTTCCATTTACATTGTTAACCAATTGTTCTTTTCAAGTTGTTTAAGTGAAAGTAGGAAACTATCTGAACGTGTTTTCGTATATAAGTAGCGTTTCGAGACTGCATCTCATATATCTAAACATTCCTTACAATGAAGCAAGATGACAATACAGTCATATATTAAACCAGTAATTTGGTTGTAAGTATTGGTGTCATACCTTATTTTTAAGAAGATAGGATATTTACAGAGAAAGTAAGGGATAAAAAGAGCGCTCAAAGAAAACCTCACACTTTCATCTTTGATGCCATTTTCGAGAGAAATATGACCCTCTATCGAGATCGGGCTGCTACAAGATGGCTGTTAATGTGGTCGATGTAATTTTGGTGAAACATCCAACCTATTCGACAAAGGTTGGGGGAACATAAAAATGCTTGTAAAGGAGGCTGGAGAAACTGGATATGAAATAGAATGGTCTCAAACTTGTAGGTTTGCTGATTATAGTTCATCTGCTGTTAAAAGAAAGATGAGAGAGGCGACTGAAATTAATAGGTTAGAAAATACGTTGAATCTGAAAAACGTTGGTATAAAGTTGAGGGGAATTACTTTTGCTCGATTGATAGATTGAAGGAGACAGAGGGTGTTGGACCACCACCCAAGAGAAGACGACTCAACTGGTCTGCTCAGTGCTGGTTCTAACTTCACTCCCACTCGTCCAACATGTTAGATTGAGCTCATCAACTAAACCAGACGTGACAGATTACGCAGCCCTCGTCATGCCTTTCGTTGAGTAGTTGAATGTTAATGACGACAGACTGAAAGGCTAGGACAAGTGGTTTTGTAACTTGACTTACATGCTCACAAGCTTACATCTAATTAGCTCAACCATGCTTGCTTATGGACTTACGCAGTCTCGGTCAGGGCTTTCTTTGATGTCATTAGGCGTTGATGATCAGAGCCTAACTTTAACCTTTTGATAATACTGATTTAGGACCGGTATTGCGTATAGACGCTAACACACACGCATACCAGTATGAAACATAATTAGCCAAAACATTCTATATGTGTCTAGGATTTTTTATTTTCTTTTTCTTAATTGAGTCTACATAAGAGGTAAGATAGAGCTGGATATTCTTCTTGATAGAGTATTAACGTGAGACTTTTACAAGAATGAGTTCCAGCTCTGATGATGTTCATCATTTGATGGACAAAAGCTTAGCCCGTTTTCACCCGAAACGAGAAAGCAGGTCCCGTGGACTGCCTCAACCTGAACGTTGTACAGAAGCCAAACAGTACAATGGGATTTATCCGTCCTCTTCTGGTGAGCTCGATCTACGAATCTCTTCTTCATGCCCTTTCATACGAAATGAAAGCCCCCCAACAATGTTATCTCAGGAGAATCATAGAAACCTAATTACTCTTCGTACCAAAGATACATAATTACGTTCGTCGATTTACCTTGTTAATAAGGCTTTGTTTCATCGACAATCCCACCAGAAAATGTGATATGGCGAATTGCCCTGCGCTTTTTGAAATTCACATCTACTACTTGACCGAACAGCCCTCATGGCAGTTTGGCGTATTGGTTACCGTATCGAGATTATGCGATGCACTGCATCAATTTGGGCTTGGGTCCTGTTGCAGGTTCTGATGAGACCTGGGCGAGGTCGAAACTGTTTTAAGGAGGCAATCGTGGAACCTACCCCCTTCATATGCACGTGGGAAAATTCAATTGGCATTCCTCAAATAACCTGTTATTCATTCTAAATTCCGCTCGCACTGGTAGAGGTGAGATTTTTTCTCATTTAAATATAGCCTCTGCTTGGATCATTGCTCCCCACATGACATTAATTTGGCAGCTTCCGGCGGCATACTCTTGGGAGAATTGTGCTTTTTGATAGACGATTAATCACTCACAGAATCTGCGCGAGCAGCAGTTTGTATAAACAAGGATAGACTTTGAAATTTGCGTCAAATTTATAAATAGACCTTCTGTCAGCGCAAGACAAATTTGAATATCGTTAGCAGAAACAAAAGATAGTCTCTAACAGATCGGAGTCTCAAAAGATTCACTGGTAAGCTGGTAGCTAGGACCAATAATAGAGCATTACAATGTGAGTTTCTAGGCTTTTACAATAGTTGCAACTATTGACATTATAGTCGTATTGTTTCTCCATGTTAGCTTAGACATAGCAAACTATTCTCTTTTGGTGACTGTTTGTTGAAGTTCAATTTATTTTCACCCACAGCGACCTATTGTTGTCAAAATTTGTTGTCTGTTGACTTTTCTCGCGTTGAGAGTGTGAGTTTCGGTATTTGTCTACCGTGAGCTGTTATGACTAGTGGGCAAGTTTATTTGCATTTAAGCAGGTCATTTTCAGACTGGCGAAGATCGTATCTGGGCCATTTATTCACCATAACACATATTTTCTGCAGGACAAATAAGTGCCAAAATGAGGAAAAAGTGTGACTAGGCTTCGATGATTCTTCGGAGCCAATACTGTTGAGATAACTTTTCTCTCCGTGAGAATGTTCCTGATAAAGTGTCTCTTGGATAGATCCCGGATGATTCCCACTCTTCTGCAGGCCTGTTTTGTTTCCTGTGAGACAACAACAAAAAATAGCCACTTAACAGGTCGGCTAAGTGATCATTTTAACCCAATCCACCTTCATTTCGCACATCTCATCAACTCAACCAGAAAAGTCTTCGAGAAAATGCCATCTCAGGTATGCCTAATCGTTTTTCAGCAAATCTGACGCTCCTGGAATGGCACCATTCTCTGTTGTCATCGGTCGAAGTTAGGACCGGTGGATTTCGTGCCATGATTTTCACACACTCAAACGCAGGACTAGTTAGGAGTGGTCTGACCTCGTATTTACAACTTTATCATTCTAGCGAATGATTTCAATATCCAGGAATGGTAACCGCCCCTCTTACTATACTTTACTTGTAAAGTATAGTTTATAGTTTATAGACTGCACCAAGTCGTTCATTTTTTCTCTTCAATGAGATCAAAGTGGAAATTAGTCCTCCTGAATCCGGTGAAATTCGGAAGGTCTCTGCCAATGGAAGTGAGAGCAGCAAACATTTTTTTTACAAAGATGTTGTCATTGAATGTGTAGTAGGTAATCCTCATTGTCAACATGATTCATCATGTAAACGACTCCCTTCTCTCGGTTCAACATCTCCAGCAGGACCGTTGGAGCCGGTTCCCTAATGATATTTGTATACATAGATGTTACATGAAAACCTACCAATACTTCTGTTCCTTCTAATGTCATGTTTTTGATCCTTTGAAATAATTAATAGGAATGCTTTACTGTTGTGCTTACTTCCATTTCGAGTGAAAGTGTTGGGTGAAGAGATTCGAAGCTCGATTCCACCAGAAGACGACGGCGGAGAATGACAAGTCTCACTGACAATGTCGACTACGTTGCCGGTAAAACATCTGGAAATGTACCAAGTCCACGGTCCGGCAATGGGAATTATACTAACTACTTTAGCAGAGGGCTTGGGACAAGGTACTTTCAACTAGATCGACCTGACAATACGATCAAGTGGAGAAAACGAGATTAGATCATTTCTATACAGTGGAATGAGACTGCAACCAAATGAGAGGCCACAATATTTTGGTCCTCATATTTACGCAAGACTAGTAAGAATAGTAGA